AGGGGAGCGCTACCTGCAAGCGGACGCCGGAGGGGCCCCGAGCGGGGCTCCCATGGTGGTGCTGAGCTCTGGGAGGAGGGGGGGGGGGGAGCGCCGGGCCTCTAAAGCGTTCCGGAGGCCTAGACCTCCGAGCACGTGGGCCCTCCCGCCCCCCTGCTGCAGGAGATGAGCCCGGATCCTGCAAGAGATCCGAGACACGGCTCTGCAGCCAGTCATCCCCCTGTCCTCTGCTGCCTCCTGCAGCTGAGCCAAAAGGCTGTCCATGGCAGGGCTAAAGGTGGCCTGAAGCAAGGTGTGCTAAACAGACACCAAGCTCACACTCTTGCCGTCCAGCTAACTGACTCCCCCTCACAGAACCTCCCATCCTAAGGTGCAGCAAAACCCCACCTACACCAACCTCTACCAATCAGCTACCCCCCACTAACAATAACAAAATCCTCCTGGAGCTACCTTAACCCTTTCTGCTCTTCCTTCCCCCACTCTGGGCCTAGTCATGTATGCCCTGCGCTATTTCTTCTTTCTTTCGCTACGGGCATTTCTTTAACTGCAGACTGTCAGCTTTAATTTGAGGGTATTTACGTCCAAATCAGGTGAACGGTGTAGGAATTACAACAGTTTGCATATGTGCCTCCCACTTGTTAAGGGACCAAAAGTAATGGGACAGAATTATAAATCAAACGTTCACTTTTTAATACTTGGTTGCAAATCCTTTGCAGTCAATTACAGCCTGAAGTGTGGAACGCATAGACATCACCAGACGCTGGGTTCATCCCTGGTGATGCTCTGCCAGGCCTCTACTGCAACTGTCTTCAGTTCCTGCTTGTTCTTGGGGCATTTTCCCTTCAGTTTTGTCTTCAGCAAGTGAAAATGCATGCTCAATCGGATTCAGGTCAGGTGATTGACTTGGCCATTGCAGAACAATTCCACTTCTTTCCCTTAAACTCTATGGTTGCTTTTGCAGTCTGCTTTGGGTCATTGTCCATCTGCACTGTGAAGCGTCCAATGAGTTGTGAAGCATTTGGCTGAATATGAGCAAATAATATTCCCGAAACACTTCACAATTCATCCGGCTGCTTCTGTCTGCAGTCACATCATCAATAAATACAAGAGAAGCAGTTCCATTGGCAGCCATACATGCCCACGCCATGACACTACCACCACCATGCTTCACTGATGAGGTGGTATGCTTAGGACCATGAGCAGTTCCTTCTCCATCCTCTTCTCTTCCCATCACTCTGGTACAAGTTGATGTCGGTCTCATCTGTCCATAGGATGTTGTTCCAGAACTGTGAAGGCTTTTTTACATGTCTCCTAGATTGTAAGCTCGAAAGAGCAGGGCCCTCAATCCCCTCATGTTTTGCATTGTATTGGTATTGTTCTGTCACATGTTCTGTTCCCCTCTGTAATGTACAGCGCTGAGCGAACTATTGGCGCTTTATAAGTACTGTATAATAATAATATAATGTCGTTTGGCAAACTCTAATCTGGCCTTCCTGTTTTTGAGGCTCACCAATGGTTTCCATCTTGTGGTGAACCCTCTGTATTCACTCTGGTGAAGTCTCTTCTCTTGATTGGTGACTTTGACACACATACACCGACCTCCTGGAGAGTGTTCTTGATCTGGCCAACTGTTGTGAAGGGTGTTTTCTTCACCAGGGGAAGAATTCTTCGCTCATCCACCACAGTTGTTTTCCGTGGTCTTCCGGGTCTTCTGGTGTTGCTGAGCTCACCGGTGCGTTCCTTCTTTTTAAGAATGTTCCAAACAGTTGTTTTGGCCACGCCTAATGTTTTTGCTATCTCTCTGATAGGTTTGTTTTTTCAGCCTAATGATGGCTTCACTGATAGTGACAGCTCTTTGGATCTCATCTTGAGAGTTGACAGCAACAGATTCCAAATGCAAATAGCACACTTGAAATGAACTCTGGACCTTTTATCTGCTCATTGTAATTGGGATAATGAGGGAATAACACACACCTGGCCATGGAACAGCTGAGAAGCCAATTGTTCCATTACGTTTGGTCCCTTAACAAGTGGGAGGCACATATGCAAACTGTTGTAATTCCTACACCGTTCACCTGATTTGGATGTAAAATAAAGCTGACAGTCTGCAGTTAAAGCACAACTTTTTTGTTTCATTTCAAATCCGTTGTGGTGGTGTATAGATCCAAAAATGTTAGAATTGTGTGAATGTCCCAATATTTATGGACCTGACCGTACATGGGGACTCGAGAATTAACTGGAGATCAATTCTGCAAGTGTACATGCTGCACAAGGTTGAGTATTCCCACAGCAGCCTTGTCCCACGGCATTGAAGGAACATCATTAAAGCAAAATGTACCCCATATATAGGAGAGGGACCCTGTCTCAGGTGCCTAGAGTAAGCCAAAAGACCCTATCCTAGGTAGGCCTCTCATGTGATCCAGACTTGACACCCAATGAGTTAATTGGGAAACACATGGAGGACGTGGAAACCACCCATCCGTCCTAACCTTAAAAGGTCCAAAGGCCAACCTGAAGAAGGATAACTGCTACTACAAAAGAGTCCTGTTAAAGTTGTACTAGTCCAGACGTATACCAAGGCTTAGCCTGTCCCAGTAATCTCACAAAGACACTATCTGCCTGGGTATGTGGTGAGGAGAATGAGAAGCTGTTGAGTGCCTGGCCACCAGCATGGAAAAAAATGCTTAATACTCCTAAAAGCTTTTTTCTAGCTTTTATTTTTCCCCCCGTATATGTACTGTAAAAAACGCTAATAAAACGCTATTACCAGCATTTTGTTTTAGCTTATAAAAACACTAGTGTGCATGGAGCCTAAGAGGGGCTAAGGAGGGAGCTGCACACTGAAGTTTTTTACCTGTAAAAAAAACCCTTCAGCCTTTAGAACCACTTTAATTCATTTTTATTATTAAAAGAAAACTCCCCCATCCATCCATCCATGTCTCCCATGCTTTATTTTGGGGAAAATCACTTCGAAAAACACCTCCCCTAGCATCTCTGACAGAGGCCACCTTGAGTAAGGGCAGATGATTAATGTAGCCTTTTATTTCCTGGAATACATCTGCCCTTAGCTCAGGCATGCAAGTAGGAGGGTGTGTGCTTATCTGAGAAAACCCCTCATCCCCTCCTGAAGACTCCTGGGACATATGACATAATTTGCCTAGGCATAGAAATAAGGAAGTAACTAAAGAAATGTAAACAGTTTATCACAAGTAAATATACTTTCTTGACTATGTACTAACACTAGCAGAATAAGGAATCAAAGTGGTCAATGTTGATTGAGAGGGTGAAGTTCTATATATACACGGCTCAAAAAATGAAAGGAAGACTTTGTAATCCAAGTCCAGCATCAAGTCAATGACACTCCTGGGATATTGTCAGGAATGGACTAGCCAGCAATGGTGGGACTCACCTGCCTTTTGATCTGCAGTACCAGGGCTGGCCAGCGGATGCTCCCAGCAATCAGAGACTCAACTTTGCAGCCAGCTAACACCTGGAACTGATTATGCTGGGGTATTTAAGGGATGGCCAGACTTGCAGACTCTGCCTTGGTGTTGTGTTTCTCTTGGGCCCTGTATCCTGTTCCTGCTCTCTGTTCCTGTCTGATTATCTGCTACCTGTTCTGATCCCTGGCTTGTCTGACCATCCCTCTGCCTGACCCTCTGTACTACGCTGCTAGCTACCTGCTGAACCTGGCCTGTGACCCCGACCAATCTCCGCTTGTTCCCCCTGTACCTACCTGCCCAATTGATATTGACTCGGCCTGCCTGACGACGCTTGCTTGTATGTACTGTTATCTGTGGGTGGTTGGTTTGGTTTGTTTGCACTGTATTATGTTTAGTATTGCACTGCGTTTATGTTTGTATTGTTAGTGTTAATAAATTATATTGTTTATCACATATCTGAGGTCTGCGTTTCCCTGCATCAGTCACACACCTCTGGTCACACCTGGGAGCCCTGACATTACACCAAGGCCAATCCTGACCAGAAGTGGCTGCACAGGGAAGCCATCTTGGCTTGTTGCTGGGAAGGATGGATCTGGATGAGGTTGTGTATTTATATCTGCTAGTGTTTGATGACAGGGAGTATGCTTATCAGACTCTGAAGGAGTATCCCCGGGATCAACTGCTAGAATGTATACGGATCGCTCATGTTCTAGTAGATCAGGGCACAGAGTTCTCTGAGGTGCAGCCATTGATTGAGGTTTGTGCTGAGTTGGTTTCATCTGGTTCCCCGAATGCAGGGATGAATTTTTGCCGCCATTTAGTGCCGACCAGGTAGAGTCCCTGGTGTGGTTATTAGAGGATGATGTGTGGGTTACTTTCTGGAGCGTTATTCCACATGTTCACCACAGACACTAAGAGTTTGTATAAACGCAGTGCAGTCATTGACCAGACAGGCTTTGTGTAAGCTCAGCTTTGTTCAACCCATACTGCAGACATGGACAGACTTGTTGCACCCAGCCTCAGTCAGCTTACAAAAACCCAGTCCTGCTTCTAACTCTACTCCTGTATTCCCACCAGCTCCTCCAGTTACAGCCCAGTATACTTGGCTATCTACCGCATGTCAGTACCCTGTTCCCACTCGCTGCACCTATCCTGCCTTTAACCCTGTAAAAAAGCCCTCTGTAGCAACTGCTCCCTCTCCTGTTCCATCCTCCAGCTCTTCTCTGTCTCCAGCTGCTCCATTCGTTTGCAGACCTGCGTTTACTTGCAGTGCTCCAGTAGTTAAAACCAGAAAAAAAGCGAAAATTCTTTCCAACCAATACCATCCTGCCAGTATCCAAACCGGTGAGCCTGCCTTCCGTGGTTCAGCCTGATGCCTCTACTCGGCCTGAAGCCTCTACTCGGCCTGATGCCGCTACTCAGCATGATGAACTGATCCAGCCCGAGTATCCTATTAGGCCAGTTGACTCGATGCCCGCTGTTGATCCAGATGATCCGGTACCTGATCCAGTGCCCGCTGTCATGCCAATTGACTCAGAGCCCGCTGTCATACCTGGTGACCCGGTGCCCGCAGTCTTGCCAGACGACTCTGTGCCCGCAGTCTTGCCAGACGACTCTGTGCCCGCAGTCTTGCCAGACGACTCGATGCCCACTGTCGTGCCTGGTGACTCGGTGCCCCGCCGCTTCGTCTGGGGGCCCGAGACCTGTCGCTCCACCTGGGGGTCCGGCGCCCGCCGCTCCGCCTGTGGGCCCGAGACCTGTCGCTCCGCCTGGGGGCCCGAGACCTGTCGCTCCATCTGGGGGTCCGGCGCCCGCCGCTCCTGGGGGCCCGAGACCTGTCTCTCTGCCTGCTCTGGGGGCCCGAGACCTGTCGCTCCATCTGGGGGTCCGGCGCCCGCCGCTCCGCCTGAGGGCCCGAGACCTGTCGCTCCGTCTGAGGGCCCGAGACCTGTCGCTCCGCCTGAGGGCCCGAGACCTGTCGCTCCGCCTGAGGGCCCGAGACCTGTCGCTCCGCCTGAGGGCCCGAGACCTGTCGCTCCGCCTGGGGGCCCGAGACCTGTCACTCCATCTGGGGGTCCGGCGCCCGCCGCCCCTCGCACCTGTCGCCCTAGGGCCCGAGACCCTGTCGCACCTCCGCCTGGGGGCCCGAGGCCTGTCGCCCTCTGGGGGCCGGGGGTCGCCGCCCGGTGCCTGTCGCCGCCCTCTCCGGGGGCCCGGTGCCTGTCGTCCCCCCCGGGGGCCCGCGCCTGTCGCCCCTCCCGGGGGCCCGGCGCCTGTCGCCCCTCCCGGGGGCCCGGCGCCTGTCGCCCCCCCGCCCGGGGCGCCTGTCGCCCTGCCCGGGGCCCGGCCTGCGCCCCCCCGGGCCGCGGCGCCTGTCCGCCCAATCCCGGTGCCCGCCCGGCGCCCCGGACCGGCCCGGCACCTGCTGCCTCGCCCGCCCGGGGGCCCGGCGCCTGCTGCCCCGCCCGGTAATCCAGCCCGATGTGCCTCTGCCCGGTGTGCCCTCCCCCGCCCGGAGTGCCAGCCCGGTGTGCCTCTGCCCGGAGTCCCAGCCCGGTGTGCCTCTGCCCGGAGTCCAGCCCGGTGTGCCTCTGCCCCGGAGTCCAGCCCGGTGTGCCTCTGCCCGGAGTCCAGCCCGGTGTGCCTCTGCCCGGAGTCCAGCCCGGTGTGCCTCTGCCCGGAGTCCAGCCCGGTGTGCCTCTGCCCGGAGTCCAGCCCGGTGTGCCTCTGCCCGGAGTCCAGCCCGGTGTGCCTCTGCCCGGTGTCCAGCCCAGCCCGGTGTGCCTCTGCCCGGTGTGCCTTTGCCCGGTGTGCCTTTGCCCGGTGTGCCGCTGCCGGAGTCCTGCCCGGTGTGCCGCTGCCCGGAGTCCTGCCCGGTGTGCAAGTCTTTGATATCCCGCCAGTTACCAGACCCGGGCGGTGGAACATTTTGCCCAGCTAGGACTGTTTGGAGCGTCCTGAGTCCGCTCCTTGAGGGGGGGGGTACTGTCAGGAATGGACTAGCCAGCAATGGTGGGACTCACCTGCCTTTTGATCTGCAGTACCAGGGCTGGCCAGCGGATGCTCCCAGCAATCAGAGACTCAACTTTGCAGCCAGCTAACACCTGGAACTGATTATGCTGGGGTATTTAAGGGATGGCCAGACTTGCAGACTCTGCCTTGGTGTTGTGTTTCTCTTGGGCCCTGTATCCTGTTCCTGCTCTCTGTTCCTGTCTGATTATCTGCTACCTGTTCTGATCCCTGGCTTGTCTGACCATCCCTCTGCCTGACCCTCTGTACTACGCTGCTAGCTACCTGCTGAACCTGGCCTGTGACCCCGACCAATCTCCGCTTGCTCCCCCTGTACCTACCTGCCCAATTGATATTGACCCGGCCTGCCTGACGACGCTTGCTTGTATGTACTGTTATCTGTGGGTGGTTGGTTTGGTTTGTTTGCACTGTATTATGTTTAGTATTGCACTGCGTTTATGTTTGTATTGTTAGTGTTAATAAATTATATTGTTTATCACATATCTGAAGTCTGCGTTTCCCTGCGTCAGTCACATACCTCTGGTCACACCTGGGAGCCCTGACATTTATTGATTTGGTCAGGTAAGTAGCAGAGGGGGGTGTTCATCAGTTTCAGCTGCTTTGGTGTTCATGAAATGAACAACAGGTGCACTAGATGGGCAACAATGAGACGACCCCCAAAACAGGAATGGTTTTACAGGTGGAGGCTACTGATATTTTTTCCCTACTCATCTTTTCTGACTGTTTTTCACTAGTTTTGCATTTGGCTCGGGTCAGTGTCCCTACTGGTAGCATGAGGCCATACCTGGACCCTACAGAGGTTGCACAGGCAGTCCAACTCCTCCAGGATGGCACATCTATACGTGCCATTGGCAGAAGGTTTGCTGTGTCTTTCAGCACAGTCTCAAGAGCATAGAGGAGATTCCAGGAGATGGGAAGTTACTCTAGGAGATCTGGACAGGGCTGTAGAAGGTCCTTAACCCATCATCAGGACTGGTATCTGCAAGGAGGAACAGGATGAGCCCTGCCAGAGCCCTACAAAATGACCTCCAGCAGGCCACTGGTGTGAATGTCTCTGACCAAACAATCAGAAACAGACTTCATGAGGGTGGCCTGAGGGCCGGACGTCCTCTAGTGGGCCCTGTGCTCACTGCCCAGCACCATAGAGCTGGATTGGCATTGGCCATTGAACCCCAGAATTGGCAGGTCCACCAATGGCACTGTGTGCTTTTCACAGATGAGAGCAGGTTCCCCCTGAGCACATGTGACAGACGTGAAAGGGTCTGGAGAAGTCATGGAGAACATTCTGCTGCCTGTAACATGGTTCAGCATGACTGTTTTGGTGGTAGGTCAGTGATGGTCTGGGGAGGCATCTCCATGGAGGGACGCACAGACCTCTACAGGCTAGACAATGGAATCCTGACTGCCATTAGGTATTGGGATGAAATCCTTGGACCCATTGTCAGACCCTACACTGGTGCAGAGGGTCCTGGGTTCCTCCTGGTTCAGGGGGTCCTGGGTTCCTCCTGGTGCAGGACAATGCCCGGCCTCATGTGGGGAGAGTATGCAGGCAGTTCCTGGAGGATGAAGGAATTGATACCATTGAATGGCCCCCACACTCACCTGACCTAAATCCAATAGAACCCCTCTGGGATGTCATGTTGCGGTCCATCCGAAGCCACCAGGTTGCACCTCAGACTGTCCAGGAGCTCAGTGATGCCCTGGTCCAGATCTGGGAGGAAATACCCCAGGGGACCATCCATCGTCTCAATAGGAGCATGCATAGGCATACATACAAGCATGTGAGGGCCATACAAAATTTCAGCAAAACTGACTCGCCTGCTGCATCATTTCTTCACTTTGATATTCGGGGTGTCTTTGAATTCAGTCCTCTGTAGGTCGATTATTTTATTTTCCATCAAACGATGGGGCGTCCTTACATTCCTAACACATTACCCCGTCCATGTCAGTATAGAGATCCTGCAGGAAATGTTTTTTTTCCCCCATTGAGATCTGATGGGTTTTCATAGTCTTCCTTTCCTATTTTTGAGCCGTGTACGTTTAAGCCTGTCCTGTGATGGGTATGAATAGAAGGACGTTGAGTTTTTCAGGTGACTTTTATCCCCAGTAGTATTTGGTTTTATGCCCAGTAGTATTTGGTTTTATGCCCAGTAGGACGGAGAGCTGTAACCTGAGGACATCATGATTATGCTTAGCAAGATAGCGGGAGAGGTGACATGAGGACATGGTGCTTAACACCACGTGGATAGGAAGTCTGCCACAACTACAGCCAAACATTCATTCGTCTGCATATCTTTCATCAAGGCTTATCCCTGTACTGTGAATGGAGTAACAACTCCCCAATAGGTCTAGATCCATGTGTTTTGCACACCACAACCTGTTACCATCTTTAAAAGCAGCAATCTTCCACCAGAAACCAGTGGAGGGCGCTATTGGGACATCAGTCTATGCATGAAGGTAAAAAACCTTCTGCGTGCAGCAGCTCCCCCAGCCTGCTCAATACTTACCTGAGCCTCATCACAATTCAGCAATGTGAATGATAGCCTCGGCTGTCCTGGGTCTCTGCCTCCTCATTGGCTGAGAGAGCCGTTGGCTCCCGCTGCTGTCAATCATAGCCAGTCAGCCAATGAGAAGAGAGAGGGGCCAAGCCGCGGCTCTGTGTGTGAATGGACATATGGAGCAGTGGGTGCCACATAGCAAGCTGCTTCCTGAGGGGGCACCCAACAGGGGGGAGGAGCCAGGAGAGCCTGCGGGGGACCCGGGAAAAGGAGGATCCAGGCTGCTCTGTGCAAAACCACTGCATACAGCAGGTAAGTATAGACATGTTTTTTTTTTTTTCTAAAGAGCCTTTAGAATCGCTTTAATTCAACATCAAGATTATTCTCTTAAGTGCACCCTCTAGTGACAGCTAGTGGTTTTGTTCTGGCTGCAGCATCCTGAACCCCAACAATCCCCCTTTGTGGTAGGACTAAATAGGATGATGTCATAGTTTTTTTGGATCATACATTACACAGAGCACACATACTAGGATCATACATTACACAGAGCACACATACTAGGATCATACATTACACAGAGCACACATACTAGGATCATACATTACACAGAGCACACAGTCTTATGTACTTCTGCTCTGGCTGGGGTCCTAAAAGTCTGCAGGCACTCAGTGATTCTTCTGCGTCCTGGAGCCTCTGTACATCCAAGCCACACCTCCCATTACTGGAGCTCTGATATGAGGGATACCATGGGATTGAGCAGACGTGTGTCACGTAGCGTGCCTCGCCAAAAATGGGTATGGCTACATTGTGCTGAATATTGGGTGTCGCTTAAAGCGGAGGTCCACCCAAAAGGGGAAGTTCCATTTTGAAGCTTGCTCCCTCGCTCCTGGTAAAAAAATGGGAATTTTTGGGGAGCAGGGGGGATCAGGTCCCCGATTTTGACAGGTATTTGCTCCCCCCACAGCCTTCTGAAACATGTGACAGGTCCGAGAAAACTGCGGGACCATTCACAATGTGCAGCTCTGCTCGCACATGCGCAGTGAGCACCCAGTGGCGAAGCCGCAAGCTCTCACAGCTGGGTGCCCACACTTAAGATGGCGGCACCTGGGACAGGACAACACTGGAAAGAACGGCTGAGGTGAGCACATCGCTGGATCCTGGGACAGGTAAGTGGCTGTTTTATAAAAGTCAGCAGCTACAGTTTTTTGTAGAATTTAATATGAGAATCAGAGACTCAAATTTAGAGGCATTAGCCCTTTATTCTGACAGGGCAGTTCAGAGCACTTCTACTGCAGCTCCTCGCATGGCGCAAAAGTCTGATAGCTCGTCAGAGAGTGAGAAGGTAGAAAGCTCCACAGGGTTTGATTTCACACAAGTAGAACCTTTTGCAAAGTCAGTAAAGGAGGTGATTGGTTGGGAGGAAGTGAAATAAACACTGTGTAAGGTCAAAAATATTTTCCAAATCTTAAAAAGGAATGGAAGGATTTTTCATTGGATGAGTTTTTAATCGATGAGTTGGTGGAACTCATTAAATGGCATAAACCAGATAAGAAAACAAGCCTTAACAAAAGACTAGCAAAATTGTAGCTGGTGAAGGAACCCAAGGTGAATCCATTAATTCACATCTATAATGTGCCTAGGTGGGGCCAGTAGGCCAGCCATTGCTCTTGCTGCAGTGGGGAAAGCAATCTCCAGAGTGACTTCCAATATCAAAAAAGCTCTTATGGAGGGAGCTGATCAAGAAAAAAGTAATACCAGCTCTTCAAGAACTCAATTTAGCAGGAGATTTCATGGTCGAGGCATCA